TTTCTGAATTAGAAACTACTCATTGTATTTCTTTTGTGTGTGTGTTTAACTTTATATTTTTTTAATCACAAAACTATACATTTTCTTTTTGTTGTTGTTAATTTTTCTTGTTATTCCTTGCCTGAGGATACTTTTCCATTGATTTTTAGGGAGAGTGGAAGAGAGAGGGAAAGACAGAAAGAAACATTGATGTGAGAGAAAAATCAATTGATTGCCTCCTGCAGGAGCCCCAACCAGGGTCGCGGAGGAGCCTGCAACCAATGTACGTGCCCTTGACCGGAATCGAACCCGGGACCCTTTGATTCGCAGGCCGACACTCTATCCACTGAGCCAAACCAGCTAGGGCTATAAATTTTCTATAAAATCTTAAAAATATTTATGCTTGTTTCCTTATAGTGGCTAATCAAATCCCTTAAACAAAAAATTAATAAAAGTGAACAACGTATTTACTAATATATATTTTTGTACTCTTGGCATCCCATGCCTTCCTTCTGAGATACTATCTCTTCTCAAGGAAGTACACATCTTTCAGTAGTTCTTTAGTTGAGGACCTCAAGTGACATATATATATATTTTCCCATTTCTCATTTTTGAAACTATAAAGAACAGCAAACAACAAAGGGAATTAAAATCTAATTTTCAGCAATACAGGAGACAGAGAAATGCTTCAAACTCAAAACTATGTGCACATGTGTCCAAAGGCAGCAGCAGCACAGAAAGCTCTTCAGTAAGAGCTCCATGGAAGAAGGAGTAGTTACAGGGGCTATGAGCAGCAGAACTCAGAAATAACCCATTTGGAAGGTGAGAAGATGACACTGAAAGACACTGGCTGGGTCCCTTGGCAGTGCTCAGTGAAGGGACCAAGCCCTCTTGAACTTGCATGGGCTTGGGGAGGCACCCATAGTTAAAAACATCATATTTGAAGGACACAGCCCATCTTTCTAGAAACAGGAAAGGGAACCCTTGAACTGCACACCATAGGCGGCTATTCTTGTCCCTCCATTACCCAGTGTCAACAGGAAATTTCTGCAAATAACTGATAGAGAAAAACTTAACTCATTCAAATATAAGTTAAAAAAGCAATTAATATAATATTTAAATAGAGATAGTATATACTTTTAAACATGAAAATAGGATAAATAATTTCTATAGAAAACACTAATCAGAAATATATTTTCACGAACTGAATAAAAACATATATCCAAAGATACCACCATGAACTTAAAAATATGAAGCAATTGCCCCTAAAAACACTGTAAAGTAGAAAATACAATAATTCAGTAATGATTTGACCAGACAATAGCAGGGATGAAAATGAGAATTAGTAAAACTCAGAAAAGAAATAGAAGTAAAAATCACAATAGGAATGAAGACGAAGTACAACGAGGAACAGAAAGCACCGTCATCTAGAAGATGAATATGAGATAAGTGAACATAATGAAATAAGTGAAGAAAGTGATTAGGAGATTAAGAGCACTAAGAGGTACAGACAGAATACAGGTAACAGCTTGCCAACATACACACAGCACAAGTCCCTGAGGAGGAAACCATGGCTCCTCTCTCCCACTAAATGCAGCGGTGAAAGACCTGAGTAGAATGCATGCAGCAGCTTCTTAAGGGCTGTGATAGTAGTAGTAGCAGTTGGGTTGAGGGAAAAGACCAGAATGCAAACGGGGGAGTTTACCATTTTCCCCCTCCAGCAATTCCTAAACTGACTTCAAGGCAGCCTAAATCCCAGAAGTGTATATCAGCATGGACAGAGCGGGGTTCAGGGAAAACTCGCAGGTCTGGCTTAAGGAGTGGGAATGACCACAGAGTGGGAACCTACAGGAACCTACAACTGTGAAGAAGGGGAACCATTCTCTCCATCAGAAGAGAATGGGGAAAACCCCAATTTCTCTCTCTGTCCTCTTACCACTTCAATTCAGATGAGGGCACTGTTGCAGTAAGTGTATGGCAGCGTAGGGTAAGTTACACCCCAACTTTTGCTGGAGGATCAAAATGGGAGAAGCCAGGAAACAGGGAAGCACTGGAGATACCAAAGAGATGGAGCTTAGGAAAGGACCCCCAAAATGTTGTTTATGAACTCCTGCGCTCACTCCTGAATTGCCCATGTAAAGATCCTATCACAAACAGACTACCAAAGACTTTGAAAATGGAATTGACAGCCACCCAGGTTCCAGACTTGCCACTGGTGGCACACACATGAGACAGATAGCATTACAAAAGTCTGGAAAACAAAACTGGCATTAAAACCACCACCATAGAAGACTGGTAGGAATTTGATACCTAAATCCAACCAGCCCAACAGCCTGATAAAACAAAAATCTCAGCATTCTCTAACAAGATTGAGTCTCATACTACTATATTCAAAATACCCAGAATATAATCCAAAATCCTTGGGCAAGTGGCCACCTGTGGCTGAGTAGCACTTTCATTTTGTGTAAAGCAAGTATACTCAGAGCTTCCCCTCAGCAAGGGCTGTGGATGGGGCAGATTTTCTTATAAGGGGACAAAAGGCATAATGATTGCCATTTGGACACACAGCTGCACTAAACCTTAGCTGGACGACCATGCCATACACTTTCACCCCTCTAAGCCTTTAGATCAGTGGTTCTCAACCTTCTGGCCCTTTAAATACAGTTCCTCATGTTGTGACCCAACCATAAAATTATTTTCATTGCTACTTCATAACTGTAATGTTGCTACTGTTATGAATCGTAATGTAAATATCTGATATGCAGGAGGGTCTTAGGCGACCCCTGTGAAAGGGTCGTTCGACCGCCAAAGGGGTCGCGACCCACAGGTTGAGAACTGCTGTTTTAGATGGTCTATTCCTTTTT